GATCATATTCTGTATAATTATAATACCAATAACAATTGAGTCGGTTATGAGATCATAGGAGTTAAAGTTAGCCTATTACACTGTTCCTTCTTTACTGTAGTGCAGTGCAGACATGTCCAACTCATTTCTCCCTACTCCAATAACTTTCCCCATCTCGTGCCATAGTCATAGTAACACAGCGGACCAGAAAAGAATGCGCTCACACTATTTAACGCATCCCCACCTAGGCTTCCGCTGAAGGTCGCGTCGCGTGCGCGACACCTTTCTTTGGTTATGCCTGCTGCGCCTGCTGTAGTGGATTAGAGATTGGCAAGAGGCGAAGTGCGGTTGAAACCGAGGGGGGAGGATCGTTAGCCATCTTAGGATTCCGTTTTATGAGGGAAATACAAAGCCCGCGCAGGAACGTGTTTTACTCATACAGAACAAATAGAAAGTAATTCCTGCAGCGAAATGCCCATGTGCCGGGTAAAGAACTGCGGTTGAAGTTAAAGGTAATAATATTAAAAAAATGACATTCCACAAATAAGTGGTTTTTTAACATGCACAAATTCGATAAAAATTGTTACGAAGAACTGTGTGAACCTAATATATTAATGTATATGCCACCATACACATTCAGCTAAAACTATATTGAACTTCTTTTTGTATCCATTAGAACTCATAATGGAGGAAATAATAGTCCTACTTATCGTCAGTTTAAAGTGATGAAGAAAAAAATTCTGATACAGATGGAATTAAGAAAAGGGGATTCGGGTAATTGCCTTGTTCTTGATTATATCAATATATTACACATTTTTTCTGTCCAAACAATTATATCCTCAATTAATATTAAAAATGGGTCTATGAAAACATCGAGACTTTTGGACCATGATGATAACGAGGTAGAAACTGTGAACACTGCAAATGATTCATTAGATTCGTATGAAGCATTACAAATCCCTCAGTTATCTATATATAATTGTCTACGAAGGAGGTAAGGGCATTAAATAATGTGATAAATTGTGGAACTTGTTTACAAGCATTAAAAAAGGTAAATGCAAAAGTTCTATGTTAATAGACTTGAAAAGTAGAGGTCTCACATATCCGTTAGATGTTATTAATATATATACATACATACATATATTCAGAGCCATTATTCAAAAATATTTAAAAATTAGAATAAGCTTCATACATACGAAATCAGTAAATAAAAGTGAAAGCGTGCGATCAGTGCACGT